TTTCGCACAGTTGAAGGGACCTCAGGGTGGATCGGTTGACACCAAGGCAGAACAGAGGTAGCTTTAGGAATTCCGTTTGCGTCTACTTCGTAGTTGTCTCGAAATGGAAACTCCGCGTCCGTCACGCTTCCAAGTCACGTGCGTACGAAATAACGTAATCCGGGAGACCAATAGCCGCCAATTAATATTCCGTATCGAGATACCGATGAATCGGCACGACATTCGGGCCGAGCACGCCGAGAGTTTTCGTGTCGCGCCGCTACAATATGTTGCGCAACGCAGAAATCCAGTTACAATTTGCCGGACCGTGCGTACGTACATACGTGTATCGTTACGGGAACGAAAGAGAAACAGACGGTAATCAATCTGCGGGTGGAGGGGAGGTCAGAGGTGCCATTTGATATGCGGTAATTGTTACTTTCATCGGAGCTCCCCGATCGGTTCGGAGATTAGCTCATACTTTCGAGGAAATCTTGTAAAATGTAGTTACACGTGATGTACGGCTCTAATTAACTCGATTCAAGCCTTTTTTTTGTGACATGAATTATGAACCCGGGAGGAGGGGAGATAATACTTCAGATCAGAGATGGGAAAATTCATTATCCGGATAAAGAGTTTTGATTAACGAATAAAAGTTAAAAAGAAGTACTTCGGCATGTTCAATTCAGTAAACGTGGAAATTTTAATTTTTATAATATAGTAATGTATTTTCTTGAAAGAATAGATACTTTGGCAAACAATTTATTTAATCTCGTTAACTGTTTAAAGATAAACCAAAGTCACAATTTAATAATAAAATTTTTTACAAACAGTGTTATGCACACTGACAGTAATTAGGACATTTACCCAATACCAAAAGAAGACTTGTATAAGCAATTTTTTTAAGAATACTAAAATTCATATAAAATGGGACTTCAGACAATGCGGTAATATAGTGGGCATAAAGTATTACGAGGGTTAAATAATATGTTGTCGCACTCGAAGTGACAGAGCTGCTCGTGTAACACTTTCTATCGCGATAAACTTTAAAACACTTCGTACTCGTGAATGAAATAGGATACAAGCATCGAGTGTGAGATGTACAACAAAAACAAGAATTCGTTCGATCGACAGAGGTGATACAAAACAATCCTTTACAATCGTAATTCATAACTCCCGAATCAAACGGGAACAATAGCCGCGGACAATTGATATCAAGGCTGGAACAGGTAACGTCGATATTCGGAATAGCGCGAGGATAAAATTACTACGGCCAACAGGGTTTATTTATTGTACAACGGAGATAGAGGGGAGAAGAGCGGAAAAACGGTACGCTTTCGACGAAATAAAGCCGTTTCTCATCTGACGCGACGAAAACGAAAGTTCTTAACGAGTGAAAAATTACCGGGCGTCCACCTTTGTAGGAAATATTACGCGTACCTCAGGGTGGAGCGTGCGCCTCGACAATATAATTCATAGTCGGTTTAAATAGAGCACATGAGCCGAAACAATGCTGGGAAAACGGCAGAAAATTGCGACAGATAGAAGAATCGAGTATAAAAAGAGATATACGACGCAAAGTATTCCAAAATGTACGTGTAATTTAGCGAACTTATTAATTCTTCGTTCAGACGTCATCCCTACTTTCTTCCGTTCTCCCGTGGAACCACTCTAGCGCCCAATGGTGGAGGTGACGTCTAAACACTCACGAATGATTTACTGTACTTGATTTTTGTTTCCAGTAAAAATACTAAATGTTAATTATCAAACTGATTAATTTTTATTTTTAGTACCTCGTGGTTTACTTATATTTTAACAAGAAATTCAGGGTCCCTACAGACCCCATGCGCACACTTATGAGTTTTCCAGGGCGCCTATTTAAGGGTTAATCGATGTCTCTGAAAGCATACTATCATACAACAATCGTCAGCCATAAAAACTCCACTTTCAATCTCAAAAAGACACAACCCATCTGATCTCTAGAACCCCGTGCACAGTACAAAATTACCAAACCAGAATTTTGTATCCGAATATCTCGAAAATTTCTGATCGCGGTTCCGAATCCCAGCCAGTAGTCAAACAAAACGTTGAACGGTATCGGCGAATAATAATTCCATCCGCCGTTCAAACAGTCCGTTGGTTGCGCCGCTGATTCGTCCAAAGAACCGTGGCCCGTGATGGTTAATAATGAAACACACATTTCGAAGCACTACAGGGGATCAAAAGCGACCTCGAAGGTGGCAAATTAAAGAAATTACCCGGAACGACGAGGTAGGGAGAAGAGGTGTTGGCTTAACCCGAGAAACGTTAAATATTTTTCGAAAAATAAGGGAACGACGGTGTGTTTCCCCGAGGGGAAACGTTATCGAGCGCTTGATGTGGCGAGACCCCAAGGGGACTAAATGACGCCTTAACTCGTCGCCTGGAATCGAATTCGCAGCGAGAAAAAGGGTGGTTGGGAAAACGCGGAGGCAGAGACAACTCGCGTGCTCTCCAATGTCCACTTAGTCCCGAAGGTTCCTTGTGTACGTCTTTTATGCAGATGCAGGACAACATTCCCATCCGGGCACGGCGCTTTGTAAATTTTCAGGGCGAGCGCCTCTTAGGAGCCGCAGCCGCGGCACACGCGCTTTGCGGATTTTTCAATCACGTTCCCCGTACTGGCGGGATTAATAAAGCGGCACCGCGGGTACGCGAAGAGTTTCCAGACTCATTTCATGCAGAATCGAATTGGATTTCCAGGTCGGGGACGGTGTGTATCTTTCTATGTGTGTGTGTATATATGTGTGCGTGTTTGTGTGTGTGCGAGGAGAGATACGGCCGACGCGCGCCCGTCCCTTTGATGTGCGACGCTCGGATACCGTCGAGCTTTCTCTCAGTGATCCACCCGTTCCCCGCGCTTTGTTACATCGCCACTAAATAATCGGTTTATAAAAATTCATGGCAAGTCCAGCGAGCCGACGAGTTTATATCCGCCCACACGATTCCCCCCAATCCCCCACAGACACAAGCAATTGAAAAAGACTCGGAAAAGACCGAGGAGTCGACACGATAATTCGAGGTTTTATAATCGTCCAAGATTTTTCTGCTTAATCGTCTGATATGTTTAGAACGATGATTTATAAATATCAGTACAGAATTATCCCTCTATGGACGTATTGTTTGGGATTGGTGATGAAATTATAGAAAACGAAGGACACGATTTCGAGATGGTTTCTGTTTTCCGTCTTGTTATTGTTTCGTTACTATAACAATGTACGTCAAGAATACAAAAATAATAATACTGGAAAAATAAAACTGAATAGAAAGACGTTGAGAATATTGGAAATCATACAACTACCAAAATAAACTATTATCAAGGAGTGTTCATTCTGCTTTAATGTTAACTCTTGAATGGTAAGGTGGATTTTAAAGTCGTACTTGGTAAAGTGAGGTCGGATCCGACCAGAGCTTTTTTTTGCTATTTTCAGACTGGTAAAAATAGTTTTTATCTAGAATTTGTATTTTATTATCTCTGTTTATTTATATAACAAGGAATAATAATTGAGTTATAATAACATATCATGAATATTAAACGATTACTATATACAAAATATTTTAAAACAAGAATAATAAAAAAATAATAGAAAATAGAGTAAGGACAGCACAAGGAGAACTATAACTTTGCTCGGATACGACCCAGACCATACTATTAGAGGGTTAACAAAATCCTATCAAGACTTCTGCACTGATTCGACATAACCCAGTACTAACCAAGAATACGTAATAAACCTCGCGACGTTAAAACAGCGCATTAATCTTTCACGAGTTACTCAACGATACGATAAACTTTCACCCCTCTCCATCAAATAATCCATCGAATCGACAAAGGGGGATGTTCGATAAAAGAGAATTATCGATCGGTAAACATGCCATAATTGCAGGAATCGATTGAAGGAAATTCGATGAAACTGGCTGGCGTCACAGGAGGATTAGAACCGTTCTGCACGATCGAGAAAGACGAGGGATAAGGGGGAAAAGGTAGTTGGTGAGCGTACACGTAGGGTTGAGGGTTGAAGCCAGAGGGTAGAGCCGGAGGATTGGTACGTTTTTAGTGGTTGCAGCACTCGAACGTGCCAGAGCGAATATATCCTGCACGAGTGCACGCGCGCGCGCGTGCATGAACACCCACGGGGCTACACACGTGCGTGCGTTCACATACATCCCCGCACGGCCTTTATTCTTGCTATCACGGTGCACGTGCAAAAGCGCCGGACGGCTCTCCGAATATTTTCCTTCTAATTTAATTTCACCATCCGGAGTGCAGCGCACGCATTACTTCGCACGTATCCGGCAAAGAGGGAACAGATTGAGATCGAGAAAGGGGAGGGGGAGGGAGGGTTGGAAGAAGCGGTATAACGATGTACGCCGGTGATTTTTCAAAAGGCCGATTAGGAAACGTATCTCATGCGGTATAAGGAAATCTCACCGAGTCGAATTGATTTTTATCTTTTCCCCTGTAGCCGGGGGCGGCTGCCACCGAGACGTCGTAATATTTCGTACCCGTTGATTACTGGGGGTGAATCCTCCCCGTCTCTCTGGTGTCGAGCGACACTCGAAAACACTTGAATTTAGAGGAACCCCCACCGATACATTTATCCCAATGCCCGAACTCGTACGGCTGCCGCCACTTCCGTCACTTCCGACGCGCTAAACTATCCGGCTGTATTTTATGTATACCGTATCCGAAAGTGTCACCCCTGACCCTAGGAAGTGATCTAAATAGAGATTAATCGGATCATAATATTTTGATCTCATGGAAAACACTTGTTTTCCTGCCTTGTCCGTTTGACATTCTTGTAATGTTCCTTTCAACGCCCAGAATACTTTTGTAGGGGTTGGGGGATGGAAAAAGATTGAAGAATATGACAATAGAAACAAAAGAACTTGAACCACTTGTTTCGAGCTGAATATAAAGTGCTTTACCAATCCATGAATTCAAGTGGCCCATGTTAATCAGTTGACATTTATTTTTGTTACAGCATTGTCTCTGCAAACCTGCGCAACGTCCTCGTCGAACTCAACCTCGACGCAAGTTGCAGTGGAAGAAGAAGATGAGGAATCATTGCCACAGATAACACTGGACGAGTTCAAAGAAAGATACAGGAGGCTGATACCGTACATGACTTTCTACGTTGCGAACAATTACGTAAATAGTCAGACTCCGCTACCGCAAGTCACCGAGAAAGAGTACCAAAGCAGTGCCTTGGTGAGGCAAAATCAGCAACCCCTCGTTAGGGTAAACAACGTAGCGAGAAAAGTGAACTTTCATCGCGTAATTCCTCAAAATCACGATCAAAAATTTGTCCCATCTGTGCAATACGATCCTCACAGTTTGGGAAGCGATAATAACTATTTCACACCCGTGAGACACACTGCTAAAAGTGGTCACGACGATCATCCGGCGCCGTACCAAGTTTATCAGGATCGCAAAGTAATTTATCCCGACATAATACCTTCACCCAGTCAGATTACACGCAAGGAGCACAGGTATTACACAAACCATGTGAGACCGTTACGACCTTACACGACAAATGGCAGAGAACACCTGCCCAGGAAACAATTGACCAAACCAGTCCACTCTAACATTCGGGATGACTACGCGTTGGATTACAATGTCAGACCAACTGTGAATGGAGTTCATTATCCCGCGATGGACTTCCATGGACACCGACCAGGTCTACCGCCTGCATACTCCACTGTGTCAACGCTCGCGCCAATCCAAGGAAAGCAACTCCCAACGATTCACCAATTAATCCGAAATCCGAATATCAACCTCGAGCAGATAGTCGAGAGTCTGCACCTGAGCGAACGCTTGCCAGAGATGCTGAACAGAGACAACATTGACAACAGTTTAAAGACCCTGGCGGAGATACTCGATATCCTTCATAGTAAGAAAACAGATGAATTCCCGCAGGTCCAACAAGCTCCTCTGACCCCATTGGTCAAGGCACCGTCGAGATTACCTCAGAAGGTACCGAACGTCAAGCCACGGCCACAGTCGCGACCAAAAGTGATCACCGAAACGCGATTCCAAGCAACCCCGAATCCTCTGTATCTAACCGAAGATCCTGAGCGTTACAAGCTGACGTCCTACGAGGATGAAATAAATCCTCTGCCACCCCCTCAACCGAGTTACGTAGAAGACAGCCTAAATAACCAGAAACTTGAAACGAATTTCATGAGAGACCAACTAAGCAACCACAACCCTGAATCGAGCTACGTTGGGAACAATCTAAATAATAAGCTGTTGGAATACTATACCCCCGTAGTTCAGGATGTTCCAGCGAAGAACAAAGACGTGTTCCTGCCAACTATCAGGCCCCATGCGAATCATCAAAGCCCAAGCGACGGCCCTACCGAGAATACATACGAAATCACGGAGGATCTTGGCGAAGATGTATTGCAGCAGGATCGATACACCCCGTCGTCACCAGCGACCACGGAAAGTCCAGTTTACAGTTACACGAAGCCGAATGAGATTTCAACCCCGAAATACAGTGTCCCGCAGACGTCGGTGAAGCATGGAGCTACGCAGGGGGAAGCTCACGTTGATTATCCAGCTTATTCTACTATACCACTGACGAACTTCAGTTGCAAGGAGCAACGATATAAGGGATTCTTTGGGGACCCAGACACTGGTTGCCAGGTAAAATTATGAATATTGCTTATACAAAATTTGATAGTGACTTTATCAGGTGGGACAATTATGTTCCTCATCGGCCAGAATATGAGTGAGATCTAATGACAGTTTATTCTAGGAATCGTTAAAGGGGTACTCTACTGTAGAGGGTTAAAAAAAATCGATTTTTTTGCATTAATTCATAGCTTGTGATGTGACAAATATGTCTGCAGAGCGTTTTTTGAAATTCGAATTATAATAATTTTAATATTTATTTGCAGGTATGGCATTACTGCGATCTGAACGGCGGGAAATCGTCATTTTTGTGCCCGAACGGTACCATATTCAGTCAAGTGGCCCTAACGTGCGACTGGTGGTTCAACGTTAAGTGCGAGACGACCACGCAATTATACGTATTAAACGAACGACTGTACAAGTACATACTGCCGGTAATGCCAAAGTTTCCCGAGGACTTTACCGGTCCGGAAGTGGATCGGTATTTGGAGCTAAAATTCAAGGAGATGGAGGCGAAACTGAAGGAAAAACTGAAGAAGGAGGAAAAGGAAAAGCTCAAAGATAAACCAGAGACAGAAAAATAAGAGGAATGATAAATACGTAGCTTGTAGTTAAATTATTCTAATTTTGTCGATTTATGCGTAACGCGTATCGAACCGATCCTTATTGCCATTGTTTGTTATAAATAGCAACAAACTGTAAGTTGTGTGCATCGCATCGTTGTATGAGGACGAATTTTGTGAAACATAAAAATGTGCAATATGTATGCTGTAAGTTTTTTGTGTGTGATTTATGTTTAGCGTATTTTAAGGATAATTCGATCCGAGATCTCTGTATAAAAGATAATCAAACTATCCTGTTTCACTGAAGTATGAATATAACTATGACGTCTAAAATGATTGTACGGCCAAGCAAAACAAAAAAATAGTTAGAAAAGCCGGGACTTGTCCGAAATAACCGATAATGTCAATAAGTATTTTCTTTCCCTCTAGTCATATTTGTACTGCGTAATTATTTATAACAGGATATACTCTACTATGTTATTAAAAATTTCTGCATTTGTGCATGCATTACACAGACCAATAATGGTCTTACTTTATTTTAAGGGTATCACATATACAGTATAATTTACTAGATGATAAACACCATGACAATAAATTAATTGAAAAATTTTCCACGCTTGAGGAAATGATATGTAACTACAAAAGCTGTGTACTGCAATGTAATGAATCTTCAATTTCGTACTTGTACTTAATAGTAGTTAGAAATATTAAATAAACTTATTTATTTATCGATTTATAGTATGTACAATTTGTTACTGTATATGCAATGGACTAATATTCTCTCGTACGATAAAGATATAACTTTAAGTTGACACTTACCTTTTGCCCCTGATGAATCCTCTGCAGGGTCTCTGTGACACGTTCCGACAACTTAAAAAACTTTGGCAGCAACTCCTGATTCTGAAAAAGAAAACAGCCACATCTTATTTTCCCCACAACAATAAGATTTTGTTTGAACTCTGTTTAATATACAAACCTTGTTTATTAGTGGCAAATAGCTATGTGTTTTATGTAAGCGTAACATACAATGAGAGCACCCCGCTATCTCACAGTTTTGACAGTAATATCCTAATGGTTCTTTACAGCGTTCCGAGCAAGTATTTTGCACAATGAAAGAGTTTTCATTGTTGTCCCCAGACAATACAATTTTTGAATGATTCTGTAGTGCTCTTCCATGGATCTGGCAAAATACACAGGTACAATATCACTTACCATTATTTCTTAATCACATATACCATATTATATAGCTGTATGGTATGAAAATTATTGTGTAATATAATATAATATCCTTTATTATGTATTGCAATAATGACGAGTCTATATAATATTTTCAAAAGACTTCTTAATACTATATAATATATATATATATATGTATACAAAAGGTAATATAAAATTGTTAAATTCTAAAAACAAAAATATACCTTGGAATAGCAACTAAAACAGTAAAGCGCATTACACTGTGGACACTTTACATTTGCTTGAATGCCACATTCATAACACAGTCCTGGAAATACAGTTATTTTATTTTCAAAATTGCTTAAGAATACTTTGTTACATCTACCCTCCATAATACAAACCTTGTATACATTGATGTTTTAATTTGGAAGTGGTCGATTTAGAGAAACAGATGTCTGTGTCATCTGTGCCTACTGGTCGATTATGAGATACAACCATTAATCCTAACGCATACATATTTAAAGGTAATAAGACTTTCTGATTATCTTCGTACTGTGGAATCATATTGCATATAGGGCAAGGTTTGTTATAGGCCAACTTTGCACATCTATTGCATATAACATGACCACATTCTAGCAACAACGGTACTACCCCATGTAGAGGCACAAATTCTGAAACAGACATATTTAAAGACTTTTTTAATACATAGAATAGTTTAAAATATAATAAACCAGTAGGGTGTAAAAGTATATGTAAATCTTTCTCAGAACCTCAAATTGTATACTGTTCTAACCTCTACATATTTACGTTTACGTCCTAAATGTTTGGTAAATAAATCGATATGCAACCCAATATTGTTTCCAAATGTAATTACAAACCTGTTACAGTATTGTGTAAACGATAATAGAAACTAATTTCATAAATTAACAGTTCAACCGACGCTACGAAACTTTATAAATCAATAATTTACGTATTGTTAACATCTATGAGATATAGTAAAAACGTAAAACTCATAAAAGTAAAATAGCCGGTAAACGCGTGGTTCGAAGAAAGCAACAATTACCTCGCAGAAAAAACTGGTGTTTACACTGCGTACAGTACACATTCCGCAGTTTTGTCGGAGGATAGTTATAAGTATTCGGTTGTTTAGTATCATTTCGCGTTACGAACATTTTGTTTAGCATAACTAGATAATCCGTGCAATCGAAAAATTCAAACACGCACTATTTCAAGTCAACGAACGTTTTGAAGTTTACACACCGCGACACGACCATGCGGAAACTTCAGATATCACACATTTGAATTGTAGCCCAGTGCCGGCACACGAAGTCAATACCCTTACTTTTTAGTCCCTATTTACATTTACCAGGGTTAAGTATAATATACTTGTTACCCAATTTAATATAATCTGAATGTCAGAATATAGAGAATGTATTCTTCAACTTTATATAATTATAGTAACGCTGACTTGTTACAGAAATACAAATAAACTGCATAACCATAGAATTTTCGAACGATGTTAAACGTCACGTGGCATCATAACAGTACTACTAAATTTAAATTATTCTTACTGTTAGTCAAAATCATATATATATATTTATCAGGTAGTATAATAAATTGATTAACAAAACACTGTTACTATATGTACAAGAATTCAAATAATTCAGATTGCAAAATAAGTTTACTGCATTCGATATATGCCAATATATAATTAATTGAAATTGACAGGTACATGGGTACATATATATTGGCTATCATAATAAATATTCATTAACATGACTAAAAGAATACGTTGTTAAAATATTTTAAGATAGTAGAGATAGAGTACCTTAAAAATAGTTATTATAGTGATTTTGTGTACGTATGTGTATTTTTTCCGATTCTTGTTACTATATGAAATCTAGTAAACCAATTAACGTACTAACAAAAACTAAAAAGTAACAAGTAAAATACATATCAGACAAAGAAGAAAAGGAAAACATTACTTGATATTTTTTCATAATATATATTACGTATTCATATTTAAAAAAAAAACATTATACGACCGAAATTTTAAACGTTTTCATTGGTTGAAGAATGACATTCACTGGTTGGTCATGTGATCGGTAGTTCCTACTACAAAACCGGTGCAATTATAGTCACGTGATTAGAAACACCTCACGATCCTCAAGACAGATGCCGTTGCGATCTCGAGAACCGTACAATTTGGCAAAAACATAAAAATGCAGGTGGATAAGCAAAGTTATGTTGGATCCATTGGAGCCTAGGCGCGGTCGCGGCTGAAGGTCCGTTATGATCCCACCCAGCGCGATCGCTCCAGCGAGCAAGAGGATCGTGAACCTCGATCTTCATATTCTGACTAGATAGTAGGTAACAGCATTGCAAATGGAAAACTACAGATACTTTAAACTTATTAAGTATAAATTATACGAAAAATGATGTTCATTACTTCCGCTTACAGTATTAAATATTTATTTTCTGTCTACACTATTCTTCGTGGAAAAAAAAGAGATTTTTATTGATATGCAAAATATTTTCCATTCAGTGTTGCTCTTAGATGATAGTTTTCCTGAATTTACATATTTAAAATAAAAGTTCGCTAACTATTCGAGACAAAAATACTCAAGAGATATTCACCTTTAAGAAACTATATACATAGATAGAAAGTCTTGCAGTCCAGAGTCTGTTCTGAATGTTTGCACAGGAAACGCGTCATATCTTGCATTTTAAATGTTTCTTCCCTAGACTTCCAGTGTTGCTGTCCTTACATTAAGCATGAAGCAATTGGACAAGTGAATGGTGGGTAGCCTGTATATTTTTAATATCTTCTTCAGATAGAGAATACCAATAGCGTGTCAAGCAATGTTTAATGATCTGCTATATTATTCCACTTAATCTACCTGTCTACTTAATTCCTGAAATCAGAAGTCACTAATGTTCTTTTTCCCGTGTAGATACATGCCATTTCCCTTTGGAACAGTCTGGTCACGTGATACCAAAAATAATTGCAGCTCGAATAAGGAGCTCTGAACAAAATTACCGTAGATCCAGGCAGCGATAATTCGAGTTTTCATCTTTTTACGTAATCGGCATGATCGCTCAGTGGCTGGGCGCAGGTCGTAGGATATGTGAGGCAAGAAGAAAGAGGAAGTGAGATATCGGATTTAGGCCGCCGCTCGAAACAACAGTACCTACAGCGAAGCGGTCTCTGGACTAAGCAATCCGAGCGAAAGAGCTGTGGCAAGGTCTAGGCTGGCTGGCATTCAAGGTCGCATGCACAGCGCAAAAGCCCCGGATCTATCCCCGCCCCAGATTTCTAGCGCCCTTTACCTCACTACCTCGCAACCTCTTACTCGCTCCACCGTCCGCACATTTCACCGGCTTCGACCATCTCCTTTCCTCCTGCTACGTTCTCCTCGGTCACTTTACGATTTCTCACTCCCACTAACAGCTCGGTCTTGTTCGCACCGTTTCACCATCGGTCGATCCTCGTCCCGACCGCTGCTCTCTCCGTCTTCTCGCACTTCCCCTCCTTCTCCTTTGCCCTTTGCGCATGCAACATCGATTTACCCATAAAAATTCCCCGCACTCAACTCTATCACTCGACTATTACTTCCTGCCCGGGCCTCGGTATCTCTTGCTTCTGGATTCACCGTTGTAATATGCAACAAAAGTATGATCGATCCGCTGGATAATTCAACATTCGCATGCCTGGCGTTGCTTGAAATCGCTTATTTACATGCCTCGTGCACATGTGCCTGCACGTATAGACTATTCTACACGCGCGCACGCCTGAAGTTGGAAGTTGAACTAAACCAACGAGACGAAATAAAGACGTACCGACG